GTGGCACGCTGGTTAGGGAGACCATGTCAAACATATTTTGAGGGAACCAAACTAGGGAACTATTAAAATGCACTGGATTAATATTTTAATAGCAAGATTTCTGTATGTGAAATGACTTTGCGTTTAGTCAACCACCTTGATTTTAATGAATTTAATGCCAGGATATTTTTAAATTATTAAGTTTATTTTAATGAAAATTAATGGAAGAACTGTGGATGAATTCACTGAGAAAAGAACAAGCAAGGTGAGATGGAACTGCATATTTTTAAAAAGAGAACTTTGGGTTGTTTTTAATTTATGCCATAAACAATGAGTTGTGTCTCACTGTTGTTGGGAGTTTTTCAGGCACAGGCTTGTATTTACAGAAACTTATTCTGAACTTGCTGTCTACAAGCTGGTGTACCTCCCAAGAGTTTTGCACAGAAGTTCCTAAAATTCTCAATAGCATCTCCGACAGCTATTTCCCAACACAACTGGAAGGTATCAGTTTAGGGAAGAGTACTTTAGATATGTAAATACATTCAGTGCAATAATCATAATAATCACATGAACCCTGGAGGATAACATTGGATCTGGATTTTAAAAGTGCCAACAGAAAATTGAACAGGGAAAAAAAATCAGATTTAATAACTTCCCTCCTCTCCCTCCCTTCCCCCTCCCTCTCCTGATTGGTTCACTAATGGAATTGCCACCAATAAGCACATATCACAGCTAATCAGTGTCTGTTAGTGTAAGGGAATAGTAGACTACCATTCTAAGTACGCAAAGTTCCCGCCTGGACTACTGTAATGCTCTCTACATGGGGCTCCCCTTGAAGAGCACCCGGAGACTCCAACTGATCCAGAACGCGGCCGCGCGGGTGATTATGGGAGTGACTTGGCGCTCCCATGTAACACCTCTCCTGCATGAGCTGCACTGGCTTCCGGTGGTCTTCCAGGTGCGATTCAAGGTATTGGTTACCATCTTCAGAGCACTCCATGGCTTAGGACCTGGGTACTTACAAGACCGCCTTCTGCTACCAATAGCCTCCCACCGGCCAGTACGCTCCCACAGAGAGGGGCTCCTCCGGGTGCCGTTGGCCAAACAATGTCAGCTGGCGACTCCCAGGGGGAGAGCCTTCTCTGTGGGGTCACCTGCCCTCTGGAATGAATTGCCCCCCGAGATACAGAGGATTCCCGACTTACGCACCTTTCATTGTGCCCTCAAGACGCTTTTATTTCAACAAGCCGGGCTGGCCTAATTTTTAATCTTTTAATTTTTAACTTTTAATTTTTTAAAACGGGTTATTTTATTCTAATAGATATGGGCCAAATTATTTAATATTTCTTAAATTGTTTTTTAAATTTTATATCTGTGTGTTTTATCTTGGCTGTACACCGCCCTGAGTCCTCCTGGGAGAAGGGCGGTATATAAATTAGATTAATAAATAAATAAATAAACAAAAGGAAGCAACCAACAAGCTGCCTTGTAAATACACAATTACGCCCTTTCTTTAAAAAGGATATTATTCACTTGATAATCTCCAATGGGTACTTTAAGGACATTACATTTTATCATGCCAGTCCTTTTAGTTTGTAGATCACTGACCTGGTGGAGACGAATGATGTCATTTCAAATGTTACACCACATCGTTCCATGCTGAGGGAAATAAACAAAAAGAAAAGAAACTCCTTCCGAAGTGTGTGTGAGAAAAAGAAATATTATATGTGGCTGGCTGTGTCACTTTTTTTCAGCAGGCAAAACAGGGTTTACAAGGAAGCAGTAACAACAAATTATCACTATTACAAGTTAATAAACTTTTAATCAATTTCTAGAATGATTCTTTCATAAACATAGTGTGTTAGGAACGGAGAAGATTAAAAACTTGTACGTTAACTTCAAGTTTGAATTAATGCTTTAGAGAGCCAAAACCAGACTCCAGGAACTAGCTTAGATTTTTATCTATTCCAAGTATACTCCTTTTTCTTTCACTGCAGTAAATATAAATGTTCCTAGTTTATTATCTTGAAGTTCTTTATCACTGTATCTATGTATGCTACTGCAATTATTACTGTATTTTTCTTTTTGTCATCCTAAATTTAAAATGGCACGGTGCCCTAATAATCTTTAGAGAGAGAGGGAGAAATGCAAGCTGTGTGAAGCGATGAAGGGTTTTTAGCAGATTTTGTGCCTGAATAAAAAGTTCATTTTATTTCGTGTATATTCTACCTTTCTCCCTGAGACACAAATTCATATAAGGGGAGGGGATTATCTCTCATCAATTTATTTCTTAACTGTGGCATAAACTAAGCTAAAAAGGAGATGGATCCAAGTCAGCGATTGTGTAGTTAAACTCACGAGTTCTCAGTCCAGAATAACAGATTTCGAGGGGACCTTGGAGGTCTTCTAGACCAACTCCCTGCTCAAGCAAGAAACACTACACCATTTCAGGCAAATGTCTGTCCAGTCTCTTTTTAAAAATGCAGTAACGCAGCACCCACAACTTCTGAAGCCGTTCCACTGATTAATTGCACGGTCAGGAAATTTCTCCTTAGTTCTAGGTTGGTTCTCTCCTTGATTAGTTTCTATCCAGCCCTTTAACCCAAGATGGCTGGCAGGAGAACATAAATTCAACAGCAGATTAAGCTAATACAGAACAGTTCCAACTACACACTTTAAGGCAGCAGGCTAATTGCTCTGCCCTCCAATTTCTTGCTGGTTGTTCATTTCTCCATTGGAACTGCTGGCTGGTTGTAGCAACGAATGCCGCAGTGCACCAAGATGTATCATGGGAACAGAACAACACATACTGTAGGTATTTGTCCTGCTGGTGCATTTGTACTGGTGGCTTTCAGCTCATACAAACAGAGAAATGCTGTCAATGATATCATAAAGGAAAATATCTGGAGAAATTAAAATTGCTGCTAGCTAAGCACTGATCGAAAAAGGAAATATTAAAAATGGAGGTGATTGTCAGGGGCGTAAGATGGGATTCTGTTTATGTTGTCATTTGCAACCCAAGGCAATTACTTTATTCTTTGTGATGGTTGGACCACTTCTAACCAACGGGACAGCTTGAACTTAATTTAGAATAGAATAGAATAGAATAGAATAGAATAGAATAGAATAGAATAGAATAGAATAGAATAGAATAGAATAGAATAGAATAGAATGCCATCACTTAATGATAGTCATAGGGTACAAATAAGCAATCAGGAAACAATATCAATATAAGTCATAAGGATATAAGCAACAAAGTTACAGTCATGCAGTCATAGTGAGAGGAGATGGGTGAGAGGAACGATGAGAAGATTAATAGTAATGCAGACTTAGTCAATAGTTTGACAGTGTTGAGGGAATTATTTTGTTTAGCAGAGTGATGGCGTTCAGGAAAAAACTGTTCTTGTGGCTAGTTGTTCTGATGTGCAGTTTCCTAACGGTCGTTTTGAGGGTAGGAGTTGAAACAATTTATGTCCAGGATGCGAGAGGTCTGTAAATATTTTCACACCCCTCTTTTTGACTCGTGCAGTATACAGGTCCTCAATGGAAGGCAGGTTAGTAGTGATTGGTTTTTCTGCAGTTCTAATTATCCTCTGAAGTCTGTGTTTGTCTTGTTGGGCTGCAGAACTGAACCCAGACAGTTATAGAGTGCAGATGACAGACTCAATATACTGTCCACATACCATTGGACATACCAGTATGGACAGTATACCTCTGTCCTACCATTGAATCCTATCAACAACTGACCACAAAGTGGTGCATTTTTCAATGTTACTCCGAATCGTCCAAAATTGCAAATTAATATATCATAATATATCTTTTATGTAAGTTTGGGAAGCATGGAAATAAATGAACCATCTCAACTAGTAATATTATTGCTAGTAGACACTAGGTATATTGTTTTATTAAATAAAATAATGGATGTCAATCCCTAAGGAGAAGTAAAGGAATAATAAGGAGAATAAGTGATTTTATAAAATATTAGCAGTCAATTATGTTACACTTGATTACAACTGAATTTGATATTTATGTTTCTATAAAAAAATGTTTTATAGGGAACCTAAAAGATCCTTCAGTTTCAAGGGTTTGCCATGGAACTTCCTTGACAGAAGTAATCAAATTTTTAAGAGACCTTGGGTCATCTCTTTGTTAACAGTAATTACATCCATCAACTTTGTTCGGTGCCTTCTGGATTCATGCACACAAAGCAAAATGGCAGTGTGCTATTTCAACAAATGACTGGCTAAGAAATTATTTTCAATTAACTTTTCAAAACAAGTTGGAAAAGCAAACCATAAAATAAATACCTGATTGTAAGAGCCTCACATGCTCCGTGTTCATCTGTATATAGAAATCCAGACTCACTTGTCACATTCTCAATTGAACAAAGACAGATATAATAAGATAAGCAGATAAAAACACCTCCTGTTTAAAAAAAAAAGTCAAAGCAGTTTTATCCTCAAACTGCCTTGGTCCTTATATCTTCCCTCCCCATCTCTTACTTCATTTGGTACAAGTAATAACTGGAATTCATTCCTATAAAGCTAAGTGCAGAGCAGTAGGAGCAAAACATATTGTCTAAGATTCCACTCTCCATTATTAATAAGATAGTCATAGCAAAGTATAATGGGGATCTTTCATTAAAAATGCTACTTATACATTTTCTTGGTACATGGCCATCACATCACCTTAATGCTTGGTGCTTTACTGGTATTCTAATTAGGAAAGGCTGAATCAATCACATTCTGGTCTATGCCAGTTCAAACTACTGAACCACAATTCCATTCCATTTATATTTGCAACAATTCCTTCCTTCCTTCCTTCCTTCCTTCCTTCCTTCCTTCCTTCCTTCCTTCCTTCCTTCCTTCTACTTTTTGTATACAATATTTGTATACCTTAGAAACCTCACAAAACTTAAAGAACTGCAATCCATGTATCAGTCCTGGAGATTCAATTTCGGGGAAAAAAATCTCTGTCTTTAACAAATAGTACATTTAAATATGTTTTTGCTCCCATCCTAGATTTACGGAAAACTTTTGAACAGGAACCATTAGGAAAGGAAGTATCTTTGGAGCAAGAAGTCCTACTTCAGTGTCGCCCACCTGAAGGAATCCCAGTGGCTGAGGTGAGTGACAGGAGTCTTTGAAGGGTGGGGAGCTGACGCTGTTTTCCTGAGACCTAATCTGTGGCTAATGGTGCAGTGAATTAGGTGATGGCATGATAAATGGAAGGTAATGGACATCTAACTGCCTGCTGTTGGTAGAATAGATTGATTGGGAGCTGATTAATGACTTCAGAGTCAATTAGAATGCCCCACTAGGCAGAGTTACAATGGGTTGCTTCCTTCCACTCTTATGCTTCCTCTGATGAAACAAGAACACAGCTAACATCAGTCTCCTTAAGACAGTCATCATGTAGAACGTATGAATATAACTCTTTTCTTCCCCCACCAGGCCATGCCAACATTCTAATACTGAGATAACCAGCTTTCATATATATTATTAAAATAATTTTACTGCTGCATTTACTTTTACAGCTATGATTATACATATGGTGACTCATTTAAACTGCATCACGATAAGTATGCACCTGCTGTGGTCTGATAAGGATCTGGAACAAAGGAAAACTACAACCCATCTTTTAATGTTCCATGTCTGTTTTACTTAAACAGCAATTAAAAACACATGAAATAAGTATCTTGATATCCATCTTGAGGAAGTGACCTACTGAGTAAAGGGAAAAAAACTATAAATGTTCTGACTAGGGAGCCCATCTGTTAAGAAAAACCTACCCTCCAAACTTGGAGGTCATGCTGCTTTTAAAAATGCTTGTGGGGTTTCTTTTAAATTGGACTGAAGGACTTCCATTTCATCTACTTGTTGAGTTGACTTGTAATACTTGTTTTATATTGAATAAATAAAGGCTTTAAATAAATAAAGATGTTGCTCAATTGTATAAAAATATATGCATGCATGTTCTCCTACCTTATGTGGTCTGTTTTGGGTGTAGCAGTGACTTGGAAAATAGGAGGGTTATAATTATAACAATACTGAGTTGAGTTCAGTGGCAGTTGAAGTGAGTGACTACAGGTGGATTGCATTTGCATATATTCAGACATGCTGTTATTACAATAGCAGCACAAAAGGAGGTGTATAGTTAGAAGCAACACACCAGTCGCAAAATTAAGAATACAAAATTGCAGGTTGGACTTCTAGTCCAACCTCCTACTCAAGCAGGAGACCCTATAACATTGCATACAAATGGCTGTCCAATCTCTTCTTAAAAACTCCAGTGATGGAGCATCCACAACTTCTGAAGGCAAGTTATTCCACTGATTAATTGTTCTAATTGACAGGAAATTCCACCTTAGTTCTACGTTGGGTCTCCTTGAAAAGTTTCTGCCCATTACTTCTCTCCCTCTCTCTCTCTCTCTCCCTCCCTCCCTCTCTCCCTCCCCTACATTTCCATCACAATGTATTTCCTGAAAGATAGAAGGCATTTTACAACCTAGTAATAAAACATTGTTTATTCTTAATCACACCTCATATTTTCTCAAGTCTACCACATGCAAAAGGACTTCCAGATAAGTAAATCCAAATGTATTGCCATCATTTTGGTAATAGGACACTTGTCATTCTCTTTGCTGACCGATTTCTGAGGTGTCCTATAAATTAGCTGAGCCAGTCTGTACGAAGCATATCTCAAAGCATATCCTGATTTCTTAAAACAGCAGCAGATAAATATAATTACATGGTTAATGTATTTTACTCCTTTTCCATTTTTATTTTATAGACTGGTGCAATGAGATTAATAATTTAATGCGGAGATAGGTTGGAAGCCAGCGCTGTGATAACGGTAGAATTAATCAACTACTGTTCTCAAGAAGAACTTATCAGTTTCCTTGCTTCTGAATTGCCTAACAACCAGCTGTTGCATAGTGACAAGAATATTTATAACGGGGCACGTCATATCGCAATTGCATGATGGTATTTAGGGACTTCATTACCTTTGCTAGAAGCTGAGATTATTCAGGACTGGCAGATTGACTGGGTTCTAAATTATGCACAAGACACAGATCGTCCCTCCCAATGTTTTAATAGTTTTGTCCCCGCCAGGCAAAAGGGAGAAGAAACACAATTAATAGAAAGAGAAGTTCTTGGGGGTTTTTTGTATGTCAAAGTCAACCAGTTACAAAACACCAGTTTTTTGACAGGGGAAAAAAGGTAATTAAGACTAAATGGTTTAAAATATTCTATAAGGTCACCCCCCCCCAAAAAAAAGACTTTATAGCAGTGGTGAAATCCAAATTTTTTTACTACAGGTTCTGTGGACGTGGCTTGATGAGTGTGGCGTGGCTTGGTGGGCATGGCAGGGGAAGGATACTGCAAAATCCCCATTCCCTCCCCACTCCTGGGAAAAGGATATTGCAAAATCTCCATTCCCACCCCACTCTGGGGCCAGCCAGAGGTAATATTTGCTGGTTCTCGAAACTGCTCAAAATTTCCGCTACCGGTTCTCCAGAACCTGTCAGAACCTGTTGGATTTCACTCCTGCTTTATAGTCAGAAAAGTTTTTTAAAATCTTCTTGGTGAATGCTGCTCTCTTAAATCAAACAGTCTGAGAATTGCACACATAGACAGAAAAGGATATTTTTATTTAAACATACGTTTCGTTGTTGATATTTCTGGCTGTGCTTTTTTTCAAGAGACCTAAATACATTTCATTATAATATGAAACATTTAATTTCTAATTAGAAAGAGTCTTATTTGTTTTGATCATACCAGGCAACGTGTTTGTGGAAAAACTAACAAAAACTAAATAAAATATTTGGAAATACCTGTACGTTTATTCACACTTTCTTAAATCTAAGTTTATAACAATTGTCTAACTTTTATATAGTGACTGGGATCCCCTTGAATTGAATCATGGTTTACTTTAACAATGGTTTACAAAGACAACACACTCAGCCATAAATATGGTAAGCTACAGATGAGCTAAACAAGATAATTATTTAGATCAGGCATATTCAACCCATGGCCCCTGGGCTGCATGCGACCCTGAACAGCTAATAACATGGCCTCACAATGTCATAAACTTTTAATATTATTTTGTGATTTTTAGCCATAGTTATATTATATATTCTATATTCAGCACCATGACAATTCCTCTTCACTCAATGGATGCCCAGGCAAGCCAAAAGATTGGAAACTTGATTTAAAGTAATATGATTACTTACTCCAAGTAATATTTTGTTTCTATATAGAGAGACTACATATGTGTTCACATATGTATCATATGTGCATGAGAATTTATTAAATGCCAATTGCTTTGCCTCATCTCTTTACACAAATAATCTTTCAACATATATACCTATCAGTAAAAATTATTTATATTTTAGCAAACAATGTTTACAGCAAAAGGGAGGCATTTGTTGACATGAAGATTTTCAGTGCTGTTAATACGTATCGTTTCAATGATTGCTTTCTAACTGAGTTAAAAAAAACAATGAGAAAAATATTTGTGTGCTTGTATTTTATTTATTTATTTATTTATTTAGGGAATTTATATTGCCACCTATTCACACGTGGTGACTCAAGGCGGCTTGCAGAATATAAAACCTCATATAAAAACAATAAAACTGATTAAAAAGAGTCATATAATAAATTAATATAATAAAATCACCTCCATCCCCGCCACCCCAGCGACAGCACCTCACATGAGCCATTTAATGGGCTCCACTCCTCTCTGGATTCCCCAGGCCCGCTGACAGAACCAGCTTTTCAATGCTTCCGGAAGAGGAAGAGGAATTTTATCTTTCATTTCACTGTATTGTTATTTAAAAAACACCATATTTCATTAAGTTGAAGATGCTATATATTAGGACAATGGTCGGCAAACTCATTAGTCAACAGAGCCAAATATCAACAGTACAATGATTGAAATTTCTTTTGAGAGCCAAATTTTTTAAACTTAAAACTATATAGGTAGGTACATTGTTGTTAATTTTAAATTGGGTGTTTTAAATTTTGGGTTTTAAATTTGGGCCGAAATTGTTTAATATTTTTAACTATTTTAAAACTGTTGTTTGTATCGTGTGTTTTTAATTGGCTGTACACCGTCCCGAGTCCTTCGGGAGAAGGGCGGTATATAAATTAAATTATTAATTAATTAATTAATTAATTAATTAATTTAATTAGTTCTTTTTAACTACAATTAGAAAGTAGGGGGATGGGGATGCAACACGCGGAGGGCCAAGTCCGCTCCCGTTCACCTCCCCACACTTGTTTACCCATCCCAGAGAGCTCGGGCTACGCCTCCCTCCGACCCAGCCGCCTTCCTTGCTGGTGTCGCTCCTGAGCGAACTCTTCTGTCCTCGGCTGTTGTAAAGAAGTGGCAACTCTGGGTGCACCATGCCCGCTTCGTTCTCTTTGAGAGCTGCTTTGCACCTTGTGGCTCACCCAGAGCTGCCGCTTCTTTGCAACAGCCGAGGACTTCTTCCACTTGGAGCTCCAAGCTGTGGGGAGGGGGAGGCGGCTGCAATGCTGGCAGTTCAGTGGGCTCCTTCCCTCAGTGGTTTGTTTTCTTTTACCTAATTAAAGGCTCCTCCGGGTCTTTTGATCTTTCTCGGGCACGGAGAAAAGTGACCCTGTGTGAAGGGACTGACCTGCTGCTGAACTTGGAAGCCAAGAGGCTTTTTTTCTACCCAACCACTGGCGCACAGCGCCGAAAAGACCTCCGGTTACTGCCGCCATCTTCGCACATGCACAGCTTTTTTCTCACTGGCTGAAGGACTTTTCGGCACTTTGTGGACTTTTCGGTATTTTGTGGAAGAGCCACACTCAAGGGGCCAAAGAGCCGCATGTGGCTCGCGAGCTGTGGTTTGCCGACCACTGTATTAGGACATGCAAAGCGCTTAAATTATACTCTTTCCTCCTCTTTTTTTTTTTTTTTTTGCATCAGCATAAATTTTGTATAAATATTCTAGGATAAATATGGCAAGTCAAAATTTGGGTTTTCTTTATTATGAAAAATAATTGAAGAAGTGTTAATGTAAAAGTTTATAATAATTGGAGCATCTATCCATTCTAGAAATGTTTAAAATGCTGTTAAAGAGAACAGGTCACT